GATACAACAACAAAGAACTCTACTGCACGCTGGATGGACTGCAAGCAACACCCTGGGAAACATTTCCCACAAGTCTGAGTCCCACTCCGTGTACCTTTTTTAATATGCTACCTCTACTCCGCCTTTTCATATTACTATCCTGTGTTCCCAAAATCTCATTTCTTTACCCCTCTGCTCCACCCCAAAGCTTATACATCTCACCCTCACTGCTACCATCTCCCTACTACTGTTCTCATCACCTCCTGCTGATACTTCACTCTCCTGCTGACCCAAACACCAGAACAGGAAGCCATATGCACTCATATACATCCCGCTCCCACCTTACTTTCCTCACTCTCTTTCTTCTCCTAACCTCTGGGGATATCTCCCCAAACCCTGGTCCTCCAGCATCTCAACCTCACACCAGGCACCCTCCTTCCTCTGGGAATAGCCGCAATCTGCTTAATCTAATCTCAATCCCCATGCTCCTAAAAAACCACCCTCCCTTTTTCATGTGCACTCTTCAATGCCCGCTCTGTTTGTAATAAGCTCACCTCTGTCCATGACCTTTTTGTCTCCCGCTCCCTTAACCTACTAGCAATTACATAAACCTGGCTTCAAGCAGCAGATTCTGCTTCTCCTGCAGCACTTTCCTATGGAGGCCTTCTCTGGACCCACTCACCCATGCCCAGTGGTCAGAAAGGCGGTGGAGTTGGCTTGCTTCTATCCCCACTGAGCACCTTTCAAGTCCTCCATAACCCTCCCTCTCTATTCTTTTTTTCTTTCAAGACTCACTGCATTCGGCTGTTTTCTCCCATATCTCTGAGGATTGTAGTGATCTACCAATCTCCTGGACTGGTGTCCCGCTTTCTTGATGACTTCTCTGCCTGGCTACCCTACTTTCTCTCCTCTGAAATACCCACTATCATTCTTGGAGATTTCAACATCCCCATTAATGTCAACAACCAAGCTAGATCCCAACTCTTCAACCTAACCTCATCTTTTGCCTTAACGCAATGGACACAGTCCTCCACTCACTCTGATGGGAATACATTAGACCTTGTCTTCTCCTGTCTTTGCACTCCCTACACCTCCTTTCCTCTGTCTGATCACAATCTCATCACCTTCACAGTCTTCTTGTCTTCAAACATCTATGCCTCCAAGCAGCAAACAATTACCCGCAGAAACCTTCACAACTTTAACCCTTCTCTTTACTACTCTGCAACTGACCACCTCTATGACAGAATCTCTCCCCTGTCCTGCCCTGACCTGGCCACTGCTGTCTACAACAGTTCGCTTTCATCCACATTAGACTCCCTTGCTCCTCTAACCGCAGGAAGCATCAGGCCCCGACCGTTACAACCTTGGCAGACTGACGACACCAGAAATCTTGAGACATAGTCGTGCGCTGGAGCAAATGTGGCGTAAAACCAAATCTCACCGAGCTTTCACCCTATATAAATCTGCTTTATTAACATACAATTCCTCCCTCCATGCTGCCAAACAAGCCTACTTTGTCTCTCTCATCAATAGCTTGCCATCCAGTCCCCGTCGTCTCTTCTCTACATTTATATCTACTTTCTCCACCTTCACCCAGCACCTCACTCCGAGATTGCAAATCATTTCAAAAACAAGACTGATGCAATTCGTAGGGATATCTCTACTGCACAGACATCCATCTCACTTAGCATACCTTATACTAAATCTCCCTCAACACTTTCCTCTTTTGACCTTGCTACTACTGAATTGGTCACTAAAGTTTTCTCAGAAGCCCATCTCACTACCTGCCCCCTGGATCCTGTCCCCTCACAACTACTATGGCCACCCTCTTCTTCCATCCTATGCTCCCTCACTCACAATCTTTAATCTCTCCCTCTCTAACAGTACCTTCCCCACCCCTCTAAAGCATGCACACATCACTCCCATACTTAACCACTCCCCCGACCGGCCGTTGCATATAAACGGCCGGACGGTGGCAGTACAGGGTCGGGTGGCCGTTTATGAACGGCCTCCCCGCACCCTGCTTGTGCGCGCTCCCTGGGAGCGCGCAGCACCTCGATCCGGTGCCCGCTGTGTCCTCCGGACACAGTGAAACACCGATCGTCGGACGGGATCTCTGTACGAGGTCCCGATCATGTGATCACTGATTGGCCAATCAGTGATCACATGCAAAGTAGTAAGCAAGATGTCACTTGTGGCATCATTGCTTACTACGTGTGAAATCTGTGAATGATCACAGAGGTCACATGGTACAAGGCTATTCACAACAGCCTTGTACCATGTGACAAGCTATGACCAATCACAGCTCACTCTGTATTTCTCAATGAGTGCAGGAATGCACACAGAGAGAAAGAGAAATTATTGCTTTTACATCCTATATGGGTGTAAAAGCAATCATTGTAAAAAAAAAAAAAAAAAAAAAAATCTTCATCACCCCCCACAAGTAGTACAGTATAATTTGTTTTTGTTTTCTTTACTAAAAAGATAATGAAATACATTTTGGCAAAGATTTATGATGAAATATTATTTATTTGCAAAATTTTATAAAAAAAAACACTTTTGTTCAAAATTTTTGGACTTTTCATTTACATAGCAAAAAAAATAAAAATCCCAGCAGTGAATAAATACCACCAAAATAAAGCTTTATCTGTCACAAAAAAAAGGGTAAAAAATAAATTTGGGTACAGTGTTGCATGACTGCGCAATTGTCATTCAAAGTGTGATAGCGCTGAAAGCTGAAAATTGCCCTGGCCAGGAAGGGGGTAAAAGTGTCCGGTCTGGAAGTGGTTAAAAAGCCGTCCCTGGACCCCACCAACATGAACAACTACAATCGCCTGAGCTCCTACCTCACTGACAACAACCTTCTTGACCCTTTACAGTCTGGCTTCCGCTCACAACACTCCACTGAAACTGCCCTACTAAAACTCACTAATGATCTACTAACTGCTAAAACTAATGGCCACTACTCCATACTCTTACTACTTGACCTCTCTGCGGCCTTTGATACTGTTGACCATCCCCTCCTCCTCAAAAAACTCCACTCTCTTGGCCTGCGAGAATCTGCTCTCTCCTGGTTCTCTTCCTACCTATCACAGCGCTCCTTCAGTGTTACCTATAACTCTGTCTCCTCCTCTCCACTCCCTCTTTCTGTAGGGGTCCCTCAAGGTTCTGTCCTTGGACCCCTTCTCTTCTCCATCTACACCTCCTCCCTTGGTTATTTGATAAATTCCCATGGCTTCAAGTACCATCTCTATGCTGATGACACACAAATCTATCTTTCTACTCCTCAGCCCTTCAGTCTCCGCTCACATTACTAACCTATTAAGTGACAGATCGCCATGTATGTATCTGTATCTGCCATCCCTCTCTGCCAATCCTTCCACTGGCTTCCCATTGCTCAACGAATAAAATTCAAAACATTACCAATAACATATAAAGCCATTTATAACTCTGCCCCAAATTACATCACCGATCTTGTCTCTAAATATCACCCAAACCGTACTCTCCACTCCTCGCACAACCTCCTGCTCTCTAGCTCCCTCGTCTCCTCCTCCCATGCTTGTCTCCAGGACTTCTCCAGAGCTTCCTCCATCCTTTGGAATTATCTACCTCAATTAATTAGACTATCGCCTACTCTTCTCACTTTTAGGCGATCTCTGAAAACCTATCTCTTCAGGAAAGCCTATCCTGCCCTCAGCAAATAATGGAATCTTCTACTCCTCCTACCAGTCCATCCCCCACAGTTACTACCTTTTGTACCACTAGCCCTTCCCTCTTAGATTGTAAGCTCCAAGGAGCAGGGCCCTCCTAACCCTCTTGTATTTAACTGTATTGTTGCTGTATTGTCTCCTGTTATATTGTAAAGTGCTGAGCAAACTGTTGGCGCTATATAAATCCTGTATAATAATAATAAGTTACAGAATATGTAAACCCAACATTTCATATTCATGATATGTGTCTGCTGTACCATGTAGTTGTATGAAAAGTATCCTGTTCTCTTTAAATTGCTTCTTTTGTGTGAAATCCCTGGTGTTCCTGCCAGTTCCTCTGCTTTCCTATCAAAAACTGAGCACAGTAGGCAAAAATGCACAGCATGGTCAGTTCTGTAGCTGTGCTTGGAACTCAGCCTGCTCTCCTCCAATGATCAAACTTGTGTTGAGCCCCCCTGAACAGCCATTCACTGGGAAGATCGGTGTCCTACTGTTTCTCCGACCCCACCTCTATATGCAGCTGAGAACAGAGGGAATGTGATCACATATAAAAAAAAATGTGAAAAAGGGAATTTATAATGTTTTAATATCTATACACAAATATTTTGCCTTTCATTTCTATTTTAAGCTGAATGGGTTGTTTTACAAGGCGAGGGTTTACATACACTTTAACAGTGGACAATGCAGTTCATTAGTTTGGAGAAGGGGGGAGGAGGAGGGAGGAGCAGGGGAATGCCTTGGCATCCTAGGCTATGGGGCTTTGTGTTTCTATAGAGGCACAAACCTAGGCCCTGCGTGCAAGGATGATATACAGCAAGGGTGAACATGGGCAAGGCTTACAGAAAAAGAAGCTGCTCACTTAGTAAGTGATTGACACTCCTGCTAAAAGTGCTTAAAACTGAGGGATTAAAAAAAACATTAAAGGGCCTTTTCACACCATACTACACATAAAAACTCAACACAATGCCTAAAAAACACATAGATCTGTATTTAGTATGCGTTGTTGCATTTTTATGCCTGTTAGCATGTGTTTTTATGTTATACATTATAAAGCCACAGTCCCTGGAAGGGTCAAAATATAAACGGTTTATTTTTTCTTTCTTTACTTTCAGTTGTTTTGTGATGGGTTTACCTGCGTTCATGTTCATTGCATTAAAAGGCAGACATGCTGCATTAAATCCCAAAGTATATCTACACAACACTGATATGTGAATGAGGCACATAGAAAACAGCTGTTTTCTATGAGCCATAGCAGTGACCTGCTTTGTTCCAGTGTGGAAAACCCAGGTCATTGCACATAATGCGACTAAACCCAGAACTCTGCTTTCACTATATCTGGTCTCCCACAGCACACAGAACACGGAAATGCAATTATTTTAGTAAATATAAACTGCTAAATACCTTTTCTCATCAACAGTTAGAGCAGTCTTGTGACTTGTATCAGTGTCCAGCTGAGCACTGGTTAAAACTTGTAGTTTTCATTCTCCTATGGCTGCCCTATGAGGCTGCATAACCCCTGACCTCTGTCTGGACAGTGCTTATTATCCCTGTGCTGATCACATGCCCCTCCCAAAGAAAAAAAAAAACTCTAACAATACACATTAAACTGAGCATGTGCGGAGTGACTCCAAAGACTCTGTCTTATCAGAAGATGAGTTGGGGACAATGGAAGAAGGGGAGGATCAGGGAAGTAAGGATCAAACAGCCTTTTTACACAATGCAGAGGATTAACCCCTTAGGTTCCACAGTGAGTATAACAAGCATGCTTTACTGCATATACAGACTGATTTTATTGTTGTGGGTTTAGTAACACTTTAAATTCAGTTGAGAAAAAATATCTAGCAAATAATATGGGTGATTAAGTACCGATAATTTTTGATGCCTTCAGCATATCCATGACTTTTGAAATGACACCAGGTAAAAGACACTTAGAGCTCTGCAGGAGGAAAGGATCCTGCTCTGGAAATACGGTTGGCTTGAGGGTGCTGTGTGGTCTAAACCAACAAGCCATGTCTGAATTTCCCTGTAATAAGGAGTATGGATCCGTGGTGAGTGTGGTAAGGTACTGGTTATCACACTGTGTGTGAGGCATTCCCTTGCAGTCTATTCTTCTTCTCCGCACTTTATTCTTTCTGGGAAGACGTGCCGCTGGCTTACTTAGACTGAACTTTGATGTGTTTTACATTTACAATGGAAACTTCTATTTACTTAGAGAAACCTGTACAGAGAAAAATACAAGGGTGGCAATTGCTGACCTATTTCTGAGCTGCTTGACTGAATCACTGACTTGGAACAAGCATGCTGATTAACTGCCTAAGCTCGGGTTCACACTGATGCAGCGCAGCACATCCAATGTGATTTGCACAGGAACTGCACCGCATTCCTGTGCAAATCACATGCAATTTCTGTGCGATGCAATTTGAGCCATACATTTTGTATGACTCAAATTGTACCACATCCACACCAACAAAGTGCAGGACCCTTTTTTAGTCCGCACCAGAATCGGATCACATGGGTTTTCACACCCATGTGATCTGATTCTGCATATTGCACCATGTTTTTCAAACTGATTTCGGGGTGTTGTTAACTTAAAATATACACACGCAGTAGTTGGTATGATCACATGGGTGTTCACACCCATACGATCCGATTCTGCACATCGCACCGCGTTTTGCAAATTGATGTCAGGGTGTTATTAACTTAAAATATACACTACACTATGGAATGTTCCTATATGTAACTGACACCGTTCTTTTAGGTGGGCTCAAGGTAGCCCCTGGGAATAACCTATTTACTGCTTTTGCCCCTTTTTATGTAACCTTTACTCTGATGTTCTCAGTTTGGGGCTCCTGTATTGTTGGTTTTTTTTTTTCTTTGCTTATTGTAAATGGTTGCTGAAAACAAATTAAATAAACATCTTTTAAAAATAAACTGCACTCATGTTAAAATGTACTCATCTGGAGCACCACAGTAAAAAGGCTTCTATGCCTTTAGAGATACTATTTCTTAATCACTCACAAAATGGTGGCTCACAAACCTCCGGGTGTGCGGCTTGACATAATTTTAATCATTTCTGATGTTTTGGTGAGGTTTAAGAAAGCCATAACTCCTGCAATGCTGTATCTTTGGTGTGCTTTCTGAAACCGCACCAAAACCATGGGACTTCATAAAAGTCTATGGGAAAGTGCAACTAACCCACAAAAACCACAGTGGGGCAGTATGACGCCGCCCTAAGTATTAACTGCTTTCCCACTGCCCTGTAGCAAAATTACTGCTACAGGGGGGCGGCAGGGCTGCGCAACGTCACGTATGTGTGTGTGTGTATATATATATATATATATATATATATATATATATACACACACACACACACACACATTATTTTGCATTTCCATTGGCGGCTACAGCTGTCGATCACCAGGTCCTGGCTGGAGATCCCCCACTGGCAGCCGGTGATCGCCGAGGAACACTGACAGGGGTAAACAACACAGACAGATCTCTCCCCTGTCAGCACCAGAATGCTGCTTTGTATTGCTCTGTGTAGCAGAGCAATACAAAGCAGCATGCTTACATAATAAAACACACACAGCACACATAGTAAAATAGCACACAGTTAATCCTTTGATTGCCCCTGATGGTAACCCCTTCCTGCCATTTTTATTAGCACTGATCACTGTATTAGTTTTACTGAGGATGTCAGTGGCAGTTAGTCAGTTCCCCCCAGTGTCAGAATGCCCGCCGCAGTCCCACTATAAGTCCCTAATCACCATCATTACTACTATAAGAAAAATGTTTACAAATTCCAGTATATATACCATCATTTGTAGACGCTATAACTGTCACGTAAACAAATTAATTTACACGTATTGGGATTTTTTTTTTTTTAGCAAAGACATGTAGCAGAATACATTTTGGCCTAAATTTATGATGAAACTTGATTTTTTTAAATTTTTTTACTGGCTATGTTTTATAGCAAGAATTCATAAATATTGGGGGGGTTTTTTTTTTTCAAAATTGTCAGTCTTTTTTTGCTTATCTCGCAAAAAATTAAAAATGCAGCTGCAAACAAATACTACCAAAAGAAAGCTCTATTTGTGGGGAAAAAAGGGCATACATTACATTTGGGTGCAGAGCAATTGTCAGTTAAAGCAACGCAGTGCTGTGCTGCAAAAAATGCCTGGTCAGGAAGGGGGGTAAATCCTCTGGAGGGCAAGTGGTTAATCAAAATAGATAGATAGATAGATAGATAGATAGATAGATAGATAGATAGATAGATAGATAGATAGATAGATAGATAGAAAGCTCAAACCACCACAAATGTTCATTTCTAGGAAAGAAAAATAACAAGAGTGAAGGCTAGTAACCCAACTGGCATTAACAGCCAGATCAGGCCTCATTTTGTTACATAGTAATGTGCAAGTGGAAACTTTCAATCTTGTGTAACAAAAGAGAAAGAAGTGAGCCCAGACCTGTTTGGGATGGTGTCCAATTCAAGCATAACTCAGTTGCAAACCATGGTTACTCAGCTTTGTTAGCACCCTACGACAACACTCATCCAACTCATACATTATTTCAGACAAAAAGAACTTGTTTTATATGCCAGTACATTAAATAAAAGTTATGTCAATATCATAAACTATATGCTTTGTCATAAAAACAAAGAGCTGCTGTTTAAAGCAGAACTGCAGGAAAATGAAAGTGGAACTATACTTTATCTGAGCACCACAAACCATAAAAGCAATTTAATTCATTTTTAATATCTAATGCAAAGTCAGCCATTCATCCATGTCTCCATGCTTTATTTTGCTGAGAAATCACTTTGAAAAACACCATCTAGCATTTCTGGCCATGGCCATCTTAAGATGATTCATGTAGTATTTACTTCCTAGACTCCATCTGCCCTTAGCTCAGGCATGTAAGCAGGGGGTGTTCATGGCAGAGAACCCCCTAATTTCAATACATCAAGCTTTGCTAAAAGAGAATCATCAAAAAACCAAGTGCATACATATACTTAATAACCAGATGCGCATAGTAAAAACATATAGAATATGGGGGTGCAGTTTTGGATATTCATGGGACACAGTAGTAATCTAGATGAGTAATTTTATATAATGGATAACATTACAGTTACTCTCTCTTTTTCTCTTTTTCCCCCCGTCTCTCCCCCTTTTTGTTTTTTTGTTGTTGTTTTTTACTAAATGGTATATACCTTTTCTTTTAGATAGAATGGGCCTAATCTCCTACTATCTGGTAGCCCATATCTTTAGTTTCTCTTTGCAACTACTGTATGAAAGATCTTCTGGGCTCTATATGATCATGTCTTATTGGCTGCCCTATGGAAAATCAGATGCCATCGCTTGGAAAAACTCAAATATTATGATGATTTAGGTTTGTTGTTCCTATATATAGTTGTCAGAATGTTTATTATTGTCATTTTAATAATTTTAGAATTGGGTGTAAAATCTAGTTGAGGAAACAGGCTTTTATCCTGCGAAACGTTCAAGACATTACATACAAGTTGTTTATTTACCCAATGTACTGTATATAGGAATTGTTTGGAACATTTTGTATATTGTGACTTGTTACAGTCACAATATGTAATGGATACATGTATTTATAGTTGAGCATTACTTATTCTCAAATTTGTTATCTCAACTGTGTTTTTAGTGTTTGTGGAATAAAAAATATATATTTTTTATAACTTGTGCATGGAGTTTTGCCAGTATGGTGCTCATTAGTTTATTTTTTGTTTGGGTTCTATATTTCAGAGTCTATACACACATAGAAACATGTGCATAAAAAAATGAAAAAACAAAAGCACAAAAAAAAAAAATTAAATATTATGTCCGCGTGATGTGAAGTCTTCTTATGTGCTCATATCAGAGTCATAATATCAAAGAGAATGTCCATCACCAATAAATTGTAGGATCAGTGCATGAAAACTGCCAACTCAATGGGAAGAATGCAAAACAAGTTTTTCCACATGTACAGTATATGCATATCTATTTCCATAGGTGTGCTCAGTCTATGGCATTAGGGTGTGCACACCAAAGCTCAAACACGCATGCATGCATATATAGCAGCATGGGGATTAAAAAAATGTGGATGTTGACTGAGACTTAGCTGACATCCTCCTCCATCGATTCCCCCCATACCCCGCCGTCATAGTATTCTGGTGTGGTAGGGGTTAATGGAACTAAGAGAGCTATCACAGGCACTTATCTAGAGTGCCAACTATGCCAACCCTCTCTGCCCCACTCCTCCATTCATAGAAGTTGTACTGACAACCTTTATGAGAACTGTCAAATACCCCTATTCTGTACCTGACCTAGATTATTCTGGCTATTGTTAAGCTCATTCTTCTCTTCCCATGTCAAACAATACAATAGTGATCATTTAGAAGTTATCTCTTTTGCACCCAAAAGGGAATTGACTTCACCCATCTAGTCTCAAAAAAGTGGGAAAGCTTGGTTGCCTGCAGATACAACTAGAACACACATGTGGGTAACCTAACTCCCAATCAAGGCTATAAAACAAAATGAAGGGTTATTATTGGGCTTTTAGTTTGATATGACCTTTGTCACAGAGCTAGCCCCCACCACCCCTTTTGTCCTGCTTAACACCAACCGCTAACCCCCCCCCCCCCCCCCCCCCCCCCCCCCCCCCCAAGCCTCCTTCACTGACGGACTGCAAGCCCAGGAGATCGGCTGCTACGGACCTCCCAGCCCTCTCCGCACCCAGACTCTCCACACCCAGACTCTCCACTGCCATCCGTTGAGTGGGTTAACCCTGTTGTGCCTGGACCTCTGCCCTGTGCTGAATTTAACCCCCTCTGCCCTGCTCCGCATTCTGCGTACTGGATTAACCCCTTCTGCCTGGACTTCTGCCCTGTGCTGGGCTTAACCCTCTCTGCCCTGATCTGCATCCTCTGTATTGGATTAACCCCGTTTTGCCTGGACCTCTGCCCAGTGCTAGACTTAACCCTCTCTGCCCAGAGCTGCATCCTGTGTACTGGATTAACCCCGTTGTGCCTGGACCTCTGCCCTGTGCTGGACTTAACCCTATTCTGCCCGAAACCCTTGCCCGTGGACTCCAACCCTTGCAGTGCCTCCGCCGCTCTGTCCTATTGGACCCCGTGGACTATTGGCCCTCTGTTGTCCCATATTGCCAGCTTGAGAACCCTTCTGTATTGTTGTGTCTTGTGTTGTTCTGTGGACTATTGTCTGCACTCCGATAAACTCCCCAATAAACGCCAGCACATTGGGTTCCATGTGATCTGTCTCCGTGTGCTCTCTCTGCGCTCCTGGTACATCACAGCCTTATTTTATCACATTTATCTTGATGTATGGAATGATGAAGAAACCTCTGTTATGAGTTTTTTTTGTTTCAAAGTATTCTTGACTATTTCTTGGATACTGTATTGTTAACCTCAATAGACGGTGATAAAAAAAAAAGAGAATGAGCAATTTAGATTTAAAACTTGGGAAATGCAAGATCAGTTTTCCTCAATTTGTGGAGCATGTCCCCTATGGGAGGCTCTGTGGTGTAGGGGGTACAGCAAGCAACAGAGTGGCTGATCAGGCAAAAGACCATTATGAGAATTAATTTAGCTTCCCATTAGGGACGTCCCTAGGAATGGTGTCACCCAATGCGATAACACTTGGTAACACCCCCTCTGACGATCCCCGCAGAATGGATCAGATCTGCAGATTGAGCATAATGGATCAGACTCCAATCCATTATGCTCAATCCGCAGAGCCAATCCATTCTGCGGGGATCGTCGGCTTGCTTTACAACTTACCTTTTCTTGGAGCGGGTCCTGTTTCACCCCATATAGGTTGCATGCCAACGATCCCTGCAGGATGGATCGGATCTGCAAATTGGGGAGCATAATGGATCGGACTCTGATCCATTATGCTGAATCTGCAGATCCGATCCCTCCTGTGGGGATCGTCGGTTTGCTTTACAACTTACCTTTTCGTGGAGCGGGTATGGTGTCACCCTGTGTGGTAGTTGTCACCCGGTGTTGCGCGCACCCCCCGCACCTGCCTAGGGACGCCCCTGCTTCCCATATTGATCTATTAGGATGGCTGTCTACTACTGCAAGGTATTAAGGGAAGAGGAAAAACTTTGACCTCGACCAAAAGGTATCTGCGGCTGAGGATTTTGGTGGCTATTCTGGGTGAGTCCATTTTCAATTTGAACAATTTGCTCTCAGCAATTTGACCAGCTTTGGACTCTCCAAAACCACACATGTAATATATTGAAGCTTACCATTCATAAGATGTGGTAGCTGTATTAAAGTGTTACTAAACCCAGGACCCTACTTTTACTATATCTGGTCTCCCACAGTACACACAACATAGAAAATGCAATTATTTTAGTAAATATAAACTGCTAAATAACTTTTCTCATCAGCAGTTAGAGCAGTCTTGTGTCCATCAGAGCACTGGTTAAAGCTTGTAGGGGGAGTTTTCATTTTCCCCTGATTGTCACATGAGGCTTCAGGACTCTTGAACCTCTGTCTGGATAGTGCTGATTGGCCCTGTGCTGATCACAGGCACTCTCCCATTAAAAAACCCCTCTAGCAATACACACCAAACTGAGCATGTACAGTTTGCCCCCAAGCCTCTGTTCTATCAGCAGATGGATTGGGGACTGTGGAAGAAGGGGAGGATCAGAGAAGACAGGATCAAACAGCCTTTTTACACAATGCAGAGGAATAATCCATTATGTTTCACAGTATAACAAGCATGCTTTACTGCATCTGCAGACTGGTTTTACTGTTGTGGGTTTAGTAATGCTTTAACTTTCTTTTTAGACTGTTTTCCCCTGGTGATCTGGCCAGTAACATACATCCTGTATCAGAATGCCCCCAACTCTGGATGAATGAAAAAGAGAGACACATTTGAACAGCAGCATTGTAAGTATGGGGAAAGGAGAGTTTAAGATGTAGTAGCAGATTTAGAAACACTAACAAATTGAAGCCAAACTCCAGATCATACTTTAAAAGTAGTTACAGTAACAATTTTGTTTCTTTTTGGATAAAGGTTGTACATAAATAAATAAAAGCTGAAAAGGGAATGTAGAACATAAAAAGAATCATAACTAGGCATCCTTCATCTAAATCAGTCTAAAACGTCTTGGAAATTAATGCTTCCCATGGTTTCTGGCAAGGAAAGCGTTAACGGCATCTGACAGCCATTCGTCCCCTGAGTGTTTCAGCCAATCAGACAGCAGACACTCTCCAAGGCTAACGTTAACTCCTAAGATATCCTGATCCCACAGGAGGTCTGCAGACCCTATTCTGATACTCCAAGACTACATCTTGTTCACACAGTACAGACACATACACAATATAACCAAATATTACTGCGACAAAACTGAAACAAATTCATTTTCTCCAAAGCCATCTGGGTTAATCTGATACGTATTAATCTTGCTCAGGAAACAACCTATAATGGTAGCACAGCTCCCAGATTTCCTTACACAGCTTTATAAATAATGGATTGTCTATTTTCTAAATACACAGTATCAGTTCTATCAGTTTATGTAAATGACACAACTGCACCATTAATTTGGTACACAAAGCCTTGGGGGTAGCTTGTGTGGTTCCCATGGCAACAAAGGCATCAAGGAATACACAACACCCTGAAAAAACACCCCTTTTATAGACATTGGTTATCTCCATTCTGCAAGACACATGAAAAACAACTTAAAGTAGCCATACACCCTAACAGAATGAGATGTCGTTTACTAAAGCACTATCTATTATACATCATCGCTATTTTTAAAAATACTGTTTTCACCTTTTTTTCCACAGTTGCTGCACGTCAGCAGTGTTGATCTGCCCTATAGTCTCTTTGCTGCCACTTCCATTCCATACAGTTTGTACTCACTGCAGCAACTGTTGCACATCGCTGCTCAATGTGCATTTACTATGGGTGACCACAAAGGAACATTACTATTCAAGGAGCACAGTGGCTAAATGGTTAGCACTTCCGCCTGGCAGTACTAGGGTCGCTGGTTTGAATCCCAACCACGGCACCACCTGCCTGGAGTTTGCATGTTCTCCCTGTGCCTGCATGGGTTTCCTCCCACACTTCAAATACATGCTGGCAGGTTAATTTGCTCCTGCTAAATTGGCCCTAGTATGTGTATGTATGAATGTGAGTTAGGGACCTTAGATTATACACCCCTTGAGGGTTAGGGATTGATGTGAATGTACAATATATATGTAAGGTGCTGCATAAAACTGATGGCGCTATATAAGTACCTGAAATAAATACATCTACGTCATCAATATTAATATTACAGTATTATTATTATTACGATTACAATATTATCATTATTATTAATACAATATTATTATTAGTAGTATTACAATTATTATAATTACAATATATTACTATTACAGTACCATTATTATTCCAATATTATTATGAATATTAGTATTACAATATTATTATTATTATTACTACTACTACTATTACAATATCATCAATATTTATTATTATTATTAGTATTACAGTATTATTATAGTATTATTACTATTACAATATTATTATTAGTGGTAGTAGTATTACAGTGTTGTTGTTATTATATTATGATTATTATTATTACAATATTATTACTATTACAATACCATTATTATTACAATATTATAATGAATATTAGTATTACATTATTAATAGTAGTATTACAGTATTATATTATTATTATTATTATTACAATAGTATCATTATTATTACAATATTATTATTAGTAGTATTACAGTATTATTATTATTATTATTACAATAGTATTGTTATTAATATTATTACAATGTTGTTGGTATTGTTGTTTTTATTATTATTATTCTTAGCTTCCCATAAGCAGCAACAGTGACTTTATCATTCCATGTGCTATAATATCATATGCCAATGGCAAGTACAACATTGCTCATGGTTACTTTCAATGTGATCACCATGTTGTATACTAATAACCAGTTATTCAATATGTATCTATTGGCTTTCCATCTTTAGTACTGACACTTTGGAGAACATTTTTGTGATCAAAATACACATCTTTAGCATTTTGCAAACCCTGTGATTGGCAGTGCTAGAATGGTAATAATCCAATTAAAAATGCACAGACTGCATATTGTAGGCCATCGGATGCAGATCTCGTCTGGTAGACCACAGTGATGTTTCTGGAAGTCATAATGAAAGCATTTACCAGTAAAGTCTGTTCCTAATGTCCTGAGAGCACATACCACGCATGCAATTCAATTTCCTGTACACATAATGAGGGGAATGTATCAATACAGGAGCAGGCACAATCTGGAACAGCTGAGCATGGCAATCAATCAGTTTCTATCTTTCATTTACAAAGTTTACCTGGTTCCTATGCACAGCTACTACAGATTTTGTCTGTTCCAGTTTTGATCAGCCCACCAATGTAACCACAACGTATTCAACAATGCATTCATATAGAAATTCAATAGACAAAAGCTTATCTTCCAACATATGGAATACCCAGGTGAGCACTAGAGATCCATAATTAAAATGTATTTAACAATTTACAAAGTAAATTAACCCCTTGTCCTCCAGAGGATGTACCCCCCTTCCTGACCAGGCCATTTGTTGTGATACGGCGCTGCATTACTTTAGCTGACAATTGCGCAGTCATGCAATGCTGTACATAAATTACATTTATGTCCTTTTTTTCCCCACAAATAGAGCTTTATTTTGGTGGTATTTGATCACATCTGCGGTTTTTTAATTTTGCACTATAAACAAAAATACTGACAATTTAAAAAAAAAATTTTTTTGCTATAAAACATGTCTAGTAAGAAAATTAAAAAAATCTAATTTCATCATAAATTTAGGCCAAAATGTATTCTGCTACATTTCTTTGCTAAATCCCAATACGTGAAAATGAATTGGTTTACGTGAAAGTTATAGCATCTACAAATGGCGGTATATATACTGTAATTATTTTTTTTATACTAGTAATGGTCATCGACTTATAGCGGGACTGAGGGGGGCATTCTGATACTGGGTGGGAACTGTCACTGACATCCCAATGACACTAATACAGTGATCAGTGCTAATAAAAAACACTGACACTGTACTAATGACACTAGAAAGGAAGGGGTTAACATCTGAGGCGATCAAAGGTTTAACTGTGCTGTTTTACTGTGTGTGTGCTGTGTGTGTTTTACTAGGGAAACATGCTGCTGTGTATTTCTGTCCTGTGCAGAGAAATACACAGCAGCATGTTCTTGCTGGCAGGAGAGATACCTCTGTTGTTCCCCTGTCAGTGTCAACGGAGATTCTCCAGCCGGGACCCAGTGATTGACATCTGTAGCCGCCAATGGCAGCTTGGGTAGGGCAGTGTGCGCAGGCGCTCCCTACCTGGAAATACTATGTATATAGTACTAATATATGTATATATACGTGATTTTGCGCAGCCCTGCCGCCCTGTAGCGGTAGTTCTACTATACGGCGGTGGGGAAGCAGTTAATCTTATGTGACCATACTATTTTAAAGCACAGATATTGTAGACGGGTGTCAAACTGGCGGCCCTCCAGCTGTTGCCAAACTACAAGTCCCATCATGCCTCTGCCTTTAGCAGTCATGCTTATAACTGTCAATCTTGCAATGCCTCATGGGACTTGTAGTTTGGCAACAGCTGGAGGGCCGCCAGTTTGACACCCGAGCTGTAGATAAAAGAAATTAAAACAAACTCCCATGCAAGTGCTGTCCTTTGTGGGAAATTACTTCATGACCTCAATGCTGCAAGGCAGGACTGCTAGCCATGTAGCAACCCGGCTACATACTGATTTGAACTGGTACACTGATTACACCAAACATACACCACTGAAATGCTGCATTGAGTGATACACAAGGGAAATATGAAAGGCTACAGTAAATTTAGAAGACAGTCACTGAAATAAAATGAAGGGACACTTATGAAAATGTTGACAAGCTCCCCTAGTTGAGCTCCCCTTCATACCCCCTGCTTCTCAATATTGGCCTGAGAGGCTGCCTGTCAATGTGCTGGACCAACAAGACTCAGGATATAGGAGAGGACAGGACCACAATGTCTACTGGGGAAAATGGTTGCAATGTGCACACCAGAGCACCGGGGATTTGAGGCTGTCAGGCAGCTGGCACTTTTCTACCTTCAATCTGAATTGAGGTTTACTTTAACAACTATACATACAATTAACTAACTCTTTAACCACTAGCCTAAAGGGGAACTTATACCCCCTTCCTGCCCAGGCCAATTTCCAGCTTTCAGTGCTGTTACACTTTGAATGACAATTGCACGGTCATGCAACACTGTACCCATATGAAATATTTATCTTTTTTTGAGACAGATAGAGCTTTCTTTTGGTGGTATTTAATCACCTCGGGGATTTTTATTTTTTCTTAAACAAACCAAAAACCACTGAAAATTTTGAAAAAAAAAAAGTTTTTTCTTAGTTTTTGTTATACAATTTTGTAAATAAGTGATTTTTCTCCTTCACTGATGTGCACTAATGAGGCTTCAGTGATGGGCACTGATAGGCTGCACTGATGGACACTGATAGGGGGCACTGATGAGGAGGCACTGGTAGGTTGCACTGATGGGCATTGACAGGCATCACTGATGGGCACTGAAAGGCAGCACTGATACATGACACTGATATATGGCACTGATAGGCGGCACTGATAGGCAGCACTGACTGGCACTGATAGGCGGCACTGACTGGCACTGTTAGGCGGCACTGACTGGCACTGTTAGGCGGCACTGACTGGCACTGTTAGGCAGCACTGACTGGCACTGATAGGTGACACTGACTGGCACTGATAGGTGACACTGATTGGCAGCACTGATAGGTGGCACTGATTGGCATTGATAGGTGGCACTGACTGGCACTGATGGGTGACATTGAAAGGCAGCTCAGATGGGCACTGATATGTGGCATTGATGTGGCACTGATGGGCACTGGCACGTGGCACTGATGGGCACTGACAGGTGGCACTTCTGTGCCCTGATGATCAGTGTACATGTCCCCTCCGCGGAAAGCTGATTACCGGCTCTCCTCTCCTCTCGAGCTGTCAGCATGACAGCTCGAGAGGAGAGAAATGGCGATAACTGGCATTTCCGTGTTTACATGTGATCAGCTGTGATTGGACACACCTGATCACATGACCGAGCCAAAATCTTCGGCTCTTTCCATGATCCAAGGGACACAGTGCACCGGCAATCGCCGCACTGCGCGCTCCCTGAGCCGCGCATGCGCAGTGAGTCTGGTAGGACGTCATATGACGTCCTATCAGAATGAGAGAACCACCTTGCGCCCATCATTTTACTATAGGGCGGGCGGAAGGTGGTTAATCACTTCAATACCGGGCACTTTTAGGGTCCATGTACACTACAGCTGATAAACTGACGTTCAGGAGCTGTTCGGTGTTTTTTTCAGCAGCCTCTGAACTCTCCCTAATGTTTTCCTATATGTCCATGTACACATAGTTGTTTACAGTCATTTACAGGCAGTGGAGTTTACAGTCGTTTTTTTTTAACGCACCAAACTTGCATTCAGGAGTAGATTTTTCAAACTCAAAACGCTTGTAATGTGTTTTTTAACTGTTCCATGTCCAGATGCTGTCCAGAGCTTTTTTTCATCATCAGAAATGCATGCAAAGCGTTTTCCATGTATTCAAGTGGACCTAGTACACCAGCGCAGTCAGTTCCACGTTTTGCGTGAAGGAAAAAATGGTAGAACGTGCCGCATTATGCTCATGATGGGATCCATAGTGAATACAACCAGAAAAGACAGGTAATCTCAACACATACCGATCTCTCTACTTATATAATAATAATAATACTTCTCTCTCTGTTTCTCTCAAAATGTCTGAAATAGTTAATTATTTACTATTTTTCAGTGCATTCTGGGCATTTGGGAGGGTCTCCTAAGGTTATCTTTTAAAAACACTTCTGAACGCAAACACGCATAAACACGGCTAAACGCGTATAACCGCGATATGCAAACGCGGCTAAACTGACTTTTTTTTAAACCTACGTTTTCCAGCAGTCCGTTTCCATTGTTCAGAAGAGTTTTCCAAACACCCCGTGTACATGAGCCCTTACCCCCCTTGATCAGGCCAATTTTCAACTTTCAGTGCTCTCACAGTTTGAATGACAATTGAGCGGTCATGCAACACTGTACACAAACTAAAATTTTTATCATTTTTTTCACACAACTAGAACTTTCTTTTCGTGGTATTTAATCACCACTGGGTTTTTATATTTTTGTTAAATAAACGAAAAAAGACCAAAATGTATACTGCTGCATTTCTTTGGTGAAAATAACCCAAATTAGTGTATATTATTTAGCTCAGGACAGTACAAATATCCCCCAAATTACCCCTTTTTGAAAGGTAGATAGTCCAAAGTATTTCGTAAGAGGCATGGTGAGTATTTTGAAGTTGTAAGTTTTTGTCATAATTTTTTGGAAAATAAATTTTAAAAAAATTATTTCACCGTTTTTTTTTTTTACATACTGTCACCAGTGCAGTACAGCGTCATCATATAACTGGTGTGGCAGTGATCAAGGATACTGACTGGTGACAGTATGAAAAAAAATATATATATATAATTTGTTTACATTTTTGTAAAAAAATGTTTATTACTTTTTTTCTTTTTATTACAATTTTTTTTTTTATAAAACACTGTGACCAGAGTGATATAATGTTACCATAGTAACATTGTACTACTCTGGGGAAGTGATAAGTATTTAGTTTTTTTTTTTTCCACATTATGATTGCCTATAGCAGTGAATTTCAGTGCTATAGGCAAGAATTTAACTGAATGAAATTGATTCATTCATTGTTTTGTTGTTGTGATTAGCTGTGATTGCCCACAGCTAATCACGACACAGATGGGCTGTGATTGGCCCATTCTGTACCATGTGATCACTGTGACCAATCACAGCTAGCAATACAATTGTATACAATGGATGGCCTGACAAGAAACCATCCATTATTTACAATTGTCATAAGATCTGCTGTGATTGGTCACAGCAGTGACATGGTGCCAGCAATGGGCTAGTACACAAATCAATCATCAGCTGACAGATGTCGCCACAGCATGGACCCGAGGGCGAGCGCCAGGCGGACGTCATATGACACCCACCCAGATCAACAAAAGTCTCGCTTGGCCGTCATTTTGCTATTGGTCAGGCAGGAACTGGTTAAGAAGAGTTGTAACAAAGGATGTTGCAAAGAAGAGGAATCAGTTGAAAAGGTTTACAAACATTTTACCTGACAGCATCACTGCCATTATTCACCAAAGCCAAAGTCTCAAGTCAGGTACTTGAGAATCCATCAGCCATGAGCAGAAAGAATATCAGAAGATTACCAGTGACTTGTTTTAATCTCTGTTATGATACACATAGCACACTTTTGCCACTGCATGTTATAGTGGACATTTAACCCTTCACAATGGGTAGCTAGCAATCTCCCACCATCACATGGACTGAAGCCAATTAACAAACCTGTATAGAGGAAAAAAACATTGAGTGTGTTTAATTTACCCATACAACCTTTGGGAGAATATACAAAACATAGGGGTAGATTTACTAAAACTAGAGAGTGCAAAATCTTATGCAGTTCTGCATAGAAACCAATCAGCTTCAAGGCTTTATTGTCAAGGCTTAACTGAACAAGCTGAACCAAAATACATAAAACACAGTAAAATTGATAGAACAAAGTCTCCAGCAATATGCAAGCATTAAAATGTGAAAACCCCTGCCCAACTCATCCCTACTAGAGTGGGCCTAATTCAAAACACAACCAATAAACAGGTAATATGTCTCATGCAAAATTTAAGCAGTTAAATGCCCTAAATGTCAGCCCCGGGCTATTCGAACTGGGCAAAAACCTTCTCTGGAGCGCAGAAGAAAAAGGTTTTCACTTGATGTTGGACATACAGTTTGGCAGGAAATTTCATGGCATAGGTCATTCCCAAGTCTCACTGGTAAACCTTAACAGCCGGAAAAGGAGTACTAAGTTTTGGCACATGAGTGTGGTAGTCAGGGTACAGTGAGAATATTGCATTGTTTCCCTTGCATCATTTACTTTCAAATTGCCAAATCTCTTGGCCTGCAAAGTACACAGTCCCTGTCTTTACAATTCAGTAGGCACATTACCATTGAGCATAGTAGGTTGTCTGGAGTCCGTGGGACTCTATGAGTACATTGAAAGACAAGGAAAATGGTTACTCTCACCAATGTACAAAAATTATGTGGGGTAATCCCTCTCCATTTTTTCAGGGAGACCCACTAGATGAATATTGTTGCAGTGTATGCAATTCTAATGCAGGCCACAGATGGGTTGAAAATCGTCCGATTTTTCGGCCGAAAAAAAAAAAATCATCCGATTTTTGCACCGTTAGTGGGTTAATTGGTTGGCCATTTTTCGGGGTTTTGGCACATTTTTTTTAAAGTTGGAAAAAAATTGGCTGATTTTGCCAATTGCCCGATTTTCCCGGCAATGATAGGCAAATCAGCCGATCGTTTTACCGATAAAAAATCTGCGCATGAGCCGTGACGAAAAAGAAGAAGAAAAAGAAGAATTCCAGTCCGCTATTATATTTGACATGAAAAAGTATTGGGGTTTCAACAATGTATCTATTAGTATCTGAATAAAAACATCTGTATCCGAAATGGATACATTGTTGAAACCGCGATACTTTTTCATGTCAAATATAATAGCGGAGCTTTCTGCAAGGGACAGAAGTAATTAAATGCTGGCCGTAGACGGGACGAAAATCGGCCGATTTTTTTTTTACCATTGGTGGTAACGTCAGCCTATTGAACGACTGATTTTTCGTTTTTTTATTTTTAAAACGGATGGTTTTCGACCTGTCTATGGCCTGCATTAGTCATCAACCTTTCCCTCTGCCTGTTTGATTCTTTTCTCTAGGACCTGGTGTTTAGCAGGGTGGGCCCCAATAGCATCCTCAAGATCAGTGATAGGCTTTTAAGCTTTAGATGTCAAGTTTTTAACATATAATTTCTGGGGATGGAAAGAGCTGTTTTAATTCAATCTATTTTTTTTTACAAAAGTATGTAAGGAGTATATGTCTTTAAGAACCTCAGTGTGTGTGGTTTGAGCTCCCATCTCAGATCCTGCAGAGGATGGAGGTGAAAGGCAATCACACATATAGCCAGAGCAATCTTTCTACCTCTTGAAGAGGATGGAGGTGAGGCATTCAACTGCATCTCCTCAAACGGCCCAGAAATGGATGCAGGAGACAGTGGGGCTGGCAGCGAATGGCCACCACCTTGATTAGACCGCATAGTCGTTGGTGGTTGCTTCTCAGTGGCATTCCAACCATGGCCTCTAATGCAGGCCATAGAAGGGTCGTTTATCGGCCGATTTTTCGTGCGCACGAAAAATCGGCTGATATTCACACCGTTAGTGGGGCCAGCCTGTCACCCGTTTTTTTTCCGTATCTCCGCATTTATTTTTATCGGTCATGCTGGAAAATCCACAAAAAATGTTTTTCGTGGATATTGGTGGCAGTATCGGCAACGGGGCCGACCAATTTTTGTTTATCGGCCGACAATTTGGCCGATAAACGGCCCGTCTATGGCCTGCCTAAACCACTATAGCAGAGTAATGTCTATGGGACAGATGCAGGCTTGATATGTGGCTGTAGTTAAGAGTTTTGAGACCACATGGCTCAATATTTGTGGAGTAAGCGTCCTCCCACACATCATGCTTGGACGTGCTAATCACTTATAAAGCATGCTGCATTGTATTATAAAACACAAATGTAAATTATTTAAGCATACATGCTTTCATAATTGTGTATTATGTACCATGTCAAAATATGACTGCTATAATTTTCTTCTCAGTTTACCAAAGTAGGCATCACCATAGGCTGTAGACATGGGCAGCTTGTCTAGGTGACCATGACATCCTCATACTAATATCCCATACTGTCTGCAGCCACTGCTTTTGATGAATAAATACCTTTGACATAAGACACAGCCATGTCCTTGTGAGGACACCAGAACAACTTAAAGCAGCCATAGAGGCCTCAGAGCCTTGGTTATCTCAGTATGCAAGTAGCAACTTTCACCTTTTCAAGGTTTACCTTAAATTACATTGAACCGATCCAAAAATGCATAGTTAGGACGTAGCTAAAATGGATATAATAATAAGCCACCAACGTTTTTTTTTTTAATTATTCAAAATGCCATAATTAAACATAAACCTGCTGAACTCTACAAAGTAATTCCAACAAAAGGAATCATTGAACCACATAGTTCAATGTATTCAAGGG